CACACTATATGTAGTGTATTAAGTAATAGCATTATGTCAAAAAAATGTACATACATACCTTCACTAAAAATGCTTTATTGCTAAAAAGGCTGATGATCATTTGAGTTTTCAGGAATTCATGATCTTTTTGCTGGTGGAGGTCCTTGCCTTGATGATGGCTGCTGCCTGATCAGTGTGGTGGGTACTGAGGGTTGGGATGGCTGGGGCAATTTCTTAAAATAAAACACCAGCCTCCTTTCTGCCTGTGGACGCTGCCGAAGCAGCATCGTTAAAGTCTCTCTTCTCCCTACGATCATGTCTAAGTCAGAGTCTCCTAAAGAGCCGGAACAGCTGAGGAAGCTCTTCATTGGAGGGTTGAGCTTTGAAACAACCGATGAGAGCCTCAGGAGCCATTTTGAGCAATGGGGAACGCTCACAGACTGTGTGGTCATGAGAGATCCAAACACCAAGTGCTCCAGGGGCTTTGGGTTCGTCACGTATGCACCTGTGGAGGAGGTGGATGCAGCCATGAATGCAAGGCCACACAAAGTGGATGGAAGAGTTGTGGAACCAAAGAGCTGTCTCAAGAGAAGATTCTCAAAGACCAGGTGCCCACTTAACTGTGAAAAAAATATTCGTTGGTGGCATTAAAGAAGACACTGAAGAACATCACCTAAGAGATTATTTTGAACAGTATGGAAAAATTGAAGTGATTGAAATCATGACGGACAGAGGCAGTGGCAAGAAAAGGGGCTTTGCCTTTGTAACCTTTGACGACCATGACTCCGTGGATAAGACTGTCATTCAGAAAGACCATACTGTGAATGGCCACAACTGTGAAGTTAGGAAAGCCCTGTCAAAGCAAGAGATGGCCAGTGCTTCATCCAGCCAAAGAGGTCGAAGTGGTTCTGGAAACTTTGGTGGTGGTCGTGGAGGTGGTTTCGGTGGGAATGACAACTTTGGTCGTGGAGGAAATTTCAGTGGTCGTGGTGGCTTTGGTGGCAGCCATGGTGGTGGTGGATATGGTGGCAGTGGGGATGGCTATAATGGATTTGGTAATGATGGTGGTTATGGAGGAGGCGGCCCTGGTTACTCTGGAGGAAGCAGAGGCTGTGGAAGTGGTGGACAGGGTTATGGAAACCAGGGCAGTGGCTATGGCGGGAGTGGCAGCTATGACAGCTATAACAACGGAGGCGGAGGCGGCTTTGGCGGTGGTAGTGGAGGCAATTTTGGAGGTGGTGGAAGCTACAATGATTTTGGCAGTTATAACAATCAGTCTTCAGATTTTGGACCCATGAAGGGAGGAAACTTTGGAGGCAGAAGCTCTGGCCCCTATGTGGTGGCGGCCAATACTTTGCCAAACCACAAAACCAAGGTGGCTATGGCGGTTCCAGTAGCAGCAGTAGCTATGGCAGTGGCAGAAGACTTTAATTAGGAAACAAAGCTTAGCAGGAGAGGAGAGCCAGAGAAGTGACAGGGAAGCTACAGGTTACAACAGATTTGTGAACTCAGCCAAGCACAGTGGTGGCAGGGCCTAGCTGCTACAAAGAAGACATGATTTAGACAAATACTCATGTGTATGGGCAAAAAACTCGAGGACTGTATTTGTGACTAATTGTATAACAGGTTATTTTAGTTTCTGTTCTGTGGAAAGTGTAAAGCATTCCAACAAAGGTTTTAATGTAGATTTTTTCTTTTTCTTTTTTTTTTTTTTTTGCACCCATGCTGTTGATTGCTAAATGTAATAGTCTGATCGTGACGCTGAATAAATGTCTTTTTTTTAAAAAAATAAAATAAAATAATAAAATAAAAAATAAAACACCAATGAAGTTTGCTGCATTGATTGACCCTCCCTTTCATGAAAAAGCTCTCTGTAGCATGGGATGCTGTTTGATAGCATTTTACTCACAGTAGAACTCATTTCTTTTTCTTTTTTTTTTTTGAGACAGAGTCTTGCTCTGTTGCCCAGGCTGGAGTGCAGTGGTGCAATCTCAGCTCACTGCAACTTTTGCCTCCCAGGTTCAAATGATCCTCCTGCCTCAGCCTCCTGAGTAGCTGGAACTACAGGTATGTGCGACCACACCTGGCTAATATTTTTGTATTTTCAGTAGAGATGGGGTTTCACCATGTTGGCCAGACTGGTCTTTAACTCCTGACCTCAGGTGATCTGCCTGCCTCGGCCTCCCAAAATGCTGGGATTACAGGCATGAGCCAGCCAAACTCATTTTAAAGTAGGAGTCGGCTGGGCGTGGTGGCTCACACCTGTAATCCCAGCACTTTGGGAGGCCGAGGCGAGTGGATCATGAAGTCAAGACATCGAGACCATCCTGGTCAACATGGTGAAACCCTGTCTCTACTAAAAATACAAAAAATGAGCTGGGCATGGTGGCACGTGCCTGTAATCCCAGCCACTCAGGAGGCTGAGGCAGGAGAATTGCCTGAACCCAGGAGGCAGAGGTTGCGGTGAGCCAAGATCGCACCACTGCACTCCAGCCTGGGTAACAAGAACGAAACTCCGCCTCAAAAATAAAAATAAAAATAAAGTAGGAGTCAATCCTCTCAAACCCTGCTACTGCTTTTTCAACCACGTTTATGTAACATTCTAAGTCGTTTGTCATTTCAACAATGTTCACAGCTTCTGCAACAAGAGTAGATTCCATCTCAGGAAACCCCTTTTATTGCTCATTTATAAGAAGCAAATCCGATTCATTCAAGCTCAATCATGAGATTACAGCAATTCAGTTCCATCTTCAGGCTCCACTTCTGATTCTCTTGCTATCACATCTGCACGACTTCCTTCACTGAAGTCTCGAACTCCTCAAAGTCATCCATGAGAGTTGGAATCAATTTTTTTTAACTCCTGTTAATGTTAGTGGCATCAAGAAAGCTGAATCCTTTCCAGAAGGTTTTGTATTTACTTTGCCCAGATCCATCAGAGGAATCACTATCCATGGAAGCTATAGCCTTATGAAATGTGTTTTTCTTTCTTTCTTTTGTTTTTTTCTCCCCTCCCCCAGCCTGAAGTGTATTTTTGAAATAGTTAAGATTTGAAAGTCAGAATGGCTCCTTGATCCTTGGCTGCAGCATGGATATTTGTTAGCGGGCATGAAAACAATGCTAATCTCTGCATATCTCCCACAGAGCTCTTGGGTAACCTGGTATATTGTCAATGAGCAGTCATATTTTGAAAGGAATTTTTTTCCCCCAAGCAGCAGGTCTCAACAGTGGGCTTAAAATATACAGTAAACCATGCTGTAAACAGATGTGCCATCATCGAGGCTTTGCTGTTGCATTTGTAGAGCTCAGGCAGAGCAGATTTAGCATCAACTTCAGAGTCCTGGGATTTTTGACATGGTTAACGAGCATTGGCTTTAACTGAAAGTTACCAGTTATATTAGCTCTTGACAAGAGAGTCAGCCTGTCGTTTGATGCTTTGAAGCCAGGCATTCAATTCTCCTGTCTAGCTAGGAACGTCCTAGATGGCATCTTCTTCCAATAGAAGGTGGTTTCAATTACACTGAAAGTCTGTTGTCTAGTGTAGATCAGTCATCAAGGATTTTAGCCACACCTTCTGGATAACCTGCTTCAGCTTCCACATCAGCAACTCACTGCCTCACTTTCCACTTACAGGGTTTGGAGCCAACTTCTTTCCTTAAACCTTATGAACCAGCCTCTGCCAGCTTCCTGCAGCTTCCACACCTCTCTCAGCCCTCACAGAATTGAAGAGAGTTAGGGCCTTGCTCTGGAACGTGTGTTGGCTTAAGGAAGTGTTGTGACTAATGTGATCTTCTATCCAGATCACTAACACTGTCTCCATATCAGCAATAAGGTTGCTTTGCTTTCTTATCATTTGTGTATTCACTAGAGTAGAATTTTTAAATTTTTTTCAAGAGCTTTTCCTTTGAATCCATAGATTGGCTAACTGGGGCAAGAGGCCCAGCTTTCAGCCTGTCTCAGCTCTTGACAGGCCTTCCTCACTAAGCTTAATTTCTAGAAGTATGACTCCTTCTTTCACTTGAACACATAAAGGCTGTTGTAGAATTATTAATTATTGTGTCTCAAGGAATAAGGAGGCCAGAGGAGAGGGAGAGGGACAAGGTAATGGCTGGTCAGTAGAGCAGTTAGAACACACACAACATTCACTAAGTTCATAGTCTTATATCAACATGATTCATGGTGCCCACAAACACTTAGCAATAGTAACAGCAAAGGCCACTGATCACAGATGACCATAGTGGATATAATAAATAATAAAAAGGTTCAGGCCAGGTGCAGTGGCTCATGCCTGTAATTCCAGCACTTTGGGAGGCCAAGGTGGGCAGATCATGAGGTCAGAAGGTTGAGACCATCCTGGCCAATAGGGTGAAACCGTGTCTCTACTAAAAATACCAAATTAGCTGGATGTGGTGGTACGTGCCTACAATCCCAGCTACTTGGGAGGTTGAGGCAAGAGAATAGCTTGAACCAGGGAAGCTTATGTTGCAGTGACCCAAGATCGCACCACTACACTCCAGCCTGGCAACAGAGCTAGACTCCATCTCAAGGGGGGAAAAGGTTTGAAGTATTATCAAAGTGTGACATAGAGACAAGTGAGCAGAGGCAAGAAGTGAGCAGAGGCTGGTGGGAAAACGCCACTGTTAGACTTTCTAGACACAGGGTTGCCACAAATCTTCAATTCGTAAAAAAAAAATACAGTAACTGTGAAGTGCAATAAAGCAAAGCAGCATAAAACCAGTAACTTTATATATACCTCTATTTCCATCTTATATTCTGAATACAAGGCTGTTTATTGAGAATGTCAAAATACCAAAGTAGTATGTATAATACACTATACAGAAACAGGAAACACTTCTTTGAATAAACTACATACTTAAAGTATGGTATCTTTAAGACATATTAATTAATTTAATACATTTGCTTGGATGCCTCCTGGGTAAGGCACTCTGCTAGGAGCTATGTGTGCAGTTGAGTAGGCACAGCCCTGCTCCTGAGGAGCTTACAAACTAGCAGGATGTGTAAGACACATGGACACAATGAGAGCTAGAAGCGATTTCTAATGTAAAGAGCAGCGAATGCTTTCTGCATGGAGTGTGAGTTTAGTTGTCTTTGCACAGGCTTCTTTCTTTTCATAATATGTGGCCTCATTCACAAACACGGGGTGCATGGTACAGTCTCTGCCCAGTGGGATCATCTTCCTGTCAAGAGTTAAAAACATGGGATCCCCAGGGTGCAATGGTTTCCAGTCTTGATCCTCAGGAAACAATCAAAATAAATACGTTATATTTGGCTTTTCTCCTTTAAAAATCTATGTCAGACTCTAGACAACTAACAGATTACAGTATTCTACTCTGTTAAAAGAGGCCCTTGAGAGAGACATCGAGATTCAGGCAAGTGGTCTGACTATGCTGACATTGGGGAATGAATTTTGGCAGTACTTTTAAGAGTTCTTGCCGGGTGTGGTGGCTCATGCCTGTAATCCCAGAACTTTGGGAGGCTGGATCACAAGGTCAGAAGTTCAAGACCAGCCTGGCCAAGATAGTGAAACCCTGTCTGTGTTAAAAATACAAAATTAGCCAGGCATGGTGGCAGGTGCCTGTAATCCCAGCTACTTGGGAGACTGAGGCCTAGAATTGCTTGAACCTGGGAGGTAGAGGCTGCAGTGAGCCAAGATCGTGCGACTGCACTCCAGCCTGGGTGACAGAGGGAGACGTTTTAAAAAGCTCTGCAGGTCATTCTTATGTGGCTTGAGTTTGAGAAACACTTCTTGGCTAGTTTGCAGTGGGTTCCAGGCTTTGGGAGGGCATCCCCTCAGTGATTCCAAGGAGCATCCTTACTAAGAACTACCGCTGTTAGGACAAAATCTAGACTCACAACCTGCGTGTTTTCCAGGCTCTGCCATCCGCCATTCACTCCTGCTCTCCATGGACACAGGTATTCTTGCTGTGCCTCAAGTGCTCCAAGTTTGTCCCAGCCTCAAGGCCTTTCACTTGCCTTCTGCAAGGCCGGCTTCTCATCTTCTAGGTTCCAACTTCAGTGTCACCATCTCTGAGATGGCACTTTGTGACCACTCCATCGAATTGGAACCTTTGTTACCCTCTGCTGTATCATTCTGCTTATTTCTTGTATAGCACGCATTACAGTTTGAAATGATTTGGTTTATGTATTATTTATTTATTCATGGTGAGTTCTCCTCACCCATTAGCATGGACGCTGCATGAGGAAACTTCCCTATCTTTTTTTTCCTGTTGCACAGGCTGGAGTACAATGGTGCAGTCTTGGCTCACTGCAACCTCTACCTCCTGAGTTCAAGCGGTTCTCCTGCCTCAGCCTCCTGAGTAGCTGGGATTACAGGTGCCTGCCACCACACCCAGCCAATTTTTTGCATCTTTGGTAGAGACAGGGTTTCACCATGTTAGCCAGGCTGGTCTCAAACTCCTGATCTCATTATCTGCCCACCTTGGCCTCCCAAAGTGCTGGGATTACAAGTGTGAACCACTGCACCCAGCCAACCTTCCCTATCTTGAATCTCAGGGCCCAGAACAAGCTTAGTTGTCATTGAAAAATATTTGTTAGAATACTTGAGTGATCAATCCCTCCTGTAGAATCCTGAGCCATTTCTTATTGTCCATGAAATCAAAGCTCTCCTTCCTCACTTTCAAGACCTCCCGCTGACCTCATTTGCCACTGAGCTCATTCCTCTCACTTCCCAGCCTCCCCAGGATTATTTCTGTAATCCTAAAGAGTATCCTAAAACTTGAAAAATCCTGCTTTAGCCTGTCATGACATCATCACCTTGGCCTCTGTTTCTTGTATTTGGTATTTTTGTCACCAGTGGTGGTTTCTTCCTTTCTCTCCCCCCATCTTTCCCTTTCCTTTAAAACACTGCCTAAGACTCCTTCTTCTTCTTCTTCCTTTTTTTTTTTGAGATGGAATCTCACTTTGTCACCCAGGCTGAAGTGCAATGGCAAAATCTCAGCTCACTGCAACCTCCACCTTCCAGGTTCAGTTGATTCTCCTTCCTCAGCCTCCTGAGTATCTGGGATTACAGGTGCTTACCACCACACCCACCTTCTTTTGTATTTTTAGTACAAATGGGATTTCACAATGTTGGTCAGGCTGATCTCGAACTCCTGACCTCATGATCTGCCCACCTCGGCCTCCCAAAGTGGTGAGATTACAGGTATAATCTCTACTAAAAATACAAAATTAGCTGGGCATGGTGGCACATGCCTGTAATCCCAGCTACTTGAGAGACTGAGGCAGAAGAACTGCTTGAATCCAGGAGGTGGAAGTTGCAGTGAGCTGAGATTGTGTCATTGCACCCCAGCCTGGGCAACAAGAATGAAACTCTGTCTCAAAACAAAAGAAGTATTTATTGAGCTACTGTCTGAGCATCTTCCCTACCCTCAGTGTCTTTGAGAGCATCAAATGAGAGAATGTACACCAAGTGCTGTATGAACTGTAAACTTCTACTCAAAGACACAGCATTATTATTTTCAATATTTAAAAGAAAGAATAAATGTTACCTGCAGATTAGGATGGATGATAGGAGCAATTTCTCCATTTTCATTCCTGGGATAATCCACTTTCTCCATAATTTTATAGACCTCAAGTGCACAGGAAGGAAATTCTTTTCCTATGACAAAAACAATATGTATAAATGCAAAGTAAAAAAATCTCTGGGCCAGGCGCAGTGGCTCACCCCTGTCATCCAAGCACTTCAAAAGGCCAAGGCTGGTGGGTCACCTGAGGTCACGAGTTTGAGATCAGCCTGGCCAACTTGGTGAAACCCCATTTCTACTAAAAATACCCAACCATGGTGATGGGTGCCTGCAGTCCCAGCTACTCAGGAGGCTGAGGCAGAAGAATTTCTTGAACCTGGGAGGTGGAGGTTGCAGTGAGCCGAGATCATGCCACTGCACTCCAGCCTGGGCAACAAGAGTGAAACTCCATCTCAAAAAAAAAAAAAAGGAAATCTCTGGAAAAAGGGAAATTGATAATGTAAGGAAGAGACAGTAACAACAGCGGTAACAAAACGAAGAGATTGATGGGGAGAACAAATCACGTTTGGTTAAGGATGTTCACAGGCAACACTCAGCAAAAGATGTTCTTCAGTTATTCCTGTCTGCTCTCTGTCCACAATGGCACTGATGGACAGGGGTAGAAAACAGAATTTAAAAAGCCAGTTTGGGAGAAAAGGAATCTAGGACTGGGAGTCAGAAGACCTGGGCTCTAATCTCCTGGCTCTGTAGTCTCAAACAAGATGCTTAGCTTCTTGAGGCTCACTTTCTTTCTTTTCTTTTCTTTCTTTTTATTTTTTTTAGAGGTGGGGTTTCACCATATTGGCCAGGCTGGTCTCGAACTCCTGACCTCATGATCCACCCATCTGGGCCTCCCAAAATGCTGGGATTACAGGTGTGAGCCACTGCACCTGGCCGAGGCTCACTTTCTTTTCTTTCTTTTTTTTTTTTTGAGATGGAGTTTCACTTTTGTTACCCAGGCTGGAGTGCAATGGTGCAATCTCGGCTCACTGCAACCTCCACCTCCTGGGTTCAGGCAATTCTCCTGCCTCAGCCTCCTGAGTAGCTGGGATTACAGGCACGTGCCACCATGCCCAGCTAATTTTTTGTATTTTTAGTAGAGATGGGGTTTCACCATGTTGACCAGGATGGTCTCGATGTGATCTCTCGACCTCGTGATCCACCTGCCTCGGCCTCCCAAAGTGCTGGGATTACAGGCATGAGCCACTGCGCCTGGCTGAGGCTCACTTTCTTTATCTGTCAAATGAAAGTATTGGATTGGCTTATCTTGGAGGGCCCTTCCAGTCATGATATTTTATGACTGCATATTTTCAGGAGGAGTTCCAGCAACTTAGGTGACTTCGGACTTGTGCTTTTTTGTTGTTGTTGAGATGGAGTCTCACTCTCTTGCTCAGGCTGGAGTGCAGTGGCGTGATCTTGGCTCACTGCAACCTCCGCCTCCCAGGTTCAAGGGATTCTCCTATCTCAGCCTCTCAAGTAGCTGGGACTACAGGTACATGCTACCATACCCAGCTAATTTTTCTATTTTTAGTAGAGACAGGATTTCACCATGTTGGGCAGGATGGTCTCGATCTCTTGATCTTGTGATCTGCCCGCCTCAGCCTCAAGTGCTGGGATTACAGGTGTGAGCCACCATGCCTGGTCTCTTTTTCTTAACTAAGTACACTAAACACTGGGACAGCTCCCAAGCAATGAGATCTTGGGATGCAAGCAGGCTGCCAATGGTGGAGACAAACTTTTAAAGATGCAGCAACATCAAACAACCCAATTCCCAGAAACCTGGAAAAAGAGTGGTTTTTATATATACCAGGCTATCTCTGAGCAAACAGAATGAACTTTTGGTCCAATGTAGGGCCCACAGCGTGTTATGGCCACAAGTGAAAGGAAAGGCTTCCTTTGCCATTAGAGCAGAGTTAGAATGGGGATACCCAGTGATCACTTCTCTATCAGTTAGCTTTTGCTGCATAACATACATATGATCCCAGAATTCGGTGGCTTGAAACAATCACCTCTTGATTTAGTTCATGAATCTATGGGTTGGTTGGGAAGTTCCTTTGGTCTACACTGGTTTTGTTGATTTTGTATTGTTTCGTTCATGCCTTGTGGTGAGCTGACAGCTTACCGGGAAGCTGGACCATATGGGATGACCTGACTCTTACGTCTGTCAGCTGGAGTTGCATGACTGTCTGTGAGGATGCCTGAGTTTTCCACTTCATCGGCTTCCATCATCCAGCAGGCCAATGTGGACTGGTGCACATAAAGGTAAATGTATGGGGCTTCCAAGGGCAGGAAGAGAGCAAGCTGCAATGTGCAAGTGCTTTTCAAGCCTTTTCCATGGCACAAAACAAGTCACGTGGCCGAGCCAGACAGTCAAGGAGTGGGAAAATAGACTATCTCTGAACAGAAGGATGTGAAACCTCACACTGCCAGGATGTGGATTCAGGAAAGGGAAGAATTAAAACCTTCCACACCTTCCAAGATGAAGATGGGAACTTACCAGATCTCATGTCTTTAAACCAGAAAGTTTGATAGGAAGAAAGTAAAAACTGATGGAACACAGAGGAGTATGTTTTTGCTACTCAGAGTTAGAAGGAGGCTTGAAAGCCTAACTTCCATCTGTGTTTGAGTATTCTCCATACTGTTCTGGCCACATAGTCATCTTACTTCTGCATGAACAGCCTCACAAAGTGTGGCCTGTTTCATGGCTGCTCAGATTTGTTAACAAGATTTCTGTCTTGCCAGGCACAGTGGTGCTGGCTTGTAACCCCAGTGCTTTAGGAAGCTGAGGTGGGCAGATTGCTTCAGCTCAGGAGTTCAAGACCAGCCTGGGCAACATGGTGAAACCTAATCTCTACAAAAAAAAAACACAAAAATTAGCTGGAGTGGTGTCACTCACATGTAGTCCCAGGAACTCAGGATGCTGGGTGGGAGGACTGCTTGAGCCCAGGGGGTTGAGGCTTCAGTGAGCCATGGTCACACCACTGCACTCCAGCCTGGACAAGAGAGTGAGACCCTGTCTCAAAAACTAAAAAGAAAAAAAGAGAAAAATTTCTGCCTCTAGGTAACTATCTCATTGATTCTCTTCTGCTCTCTGAGTCACAGAAAATATGTCTAATTTATTTCCAATGTAGACTTCTTTCTTCCCTTTTTTTTGAGATTGTCTCACTCTGTCACCCAGGTTGGAGTGTAGTGGCACAATCTTGGCTCACTGCATCCTCCACCTCCTGGGTTCAAGCGATTCTGATGCCTCACCCTCCAGATAGCTGGAACTACAGGCATGCACCACCACACCCAGTTAATTTTTGCATTTTTAGTGGAGATGAGGTTTCCCCATGTTGCTCAGGCTGGTCTTGAACTCCTGACCTCAAGTGATCCACCTGCCTTGGCCTCCCAAAGTGCAGGATTACAGGCATGAGCCAGGAATTATTCTCATCATGGTTTTCAAGCTCTTCAACATTCTCAATGTCTCCTTGGCTAAATTCCTCTTTATAGACATTTCTCTTGGATTATTGATTTACAGTTTTCCAGTGTTGTTTATTCAAGGCAGAAAAAAGACCATTACCTTCCTTACTCTGGGATTTTTTTTTTAACGTAAGAGCAAAACTTTGTCCCTGATGTTGTTAACCTTTAATGTTTGGTTTAAAAGATTGTTAAAGATTGTCAGGACTCCTGGGATCTGCTTTCTCAAGCAGGGTGTTTTCCTGCTACCTTCCTGTGACCTGTCACTCAGGTCACTAACTATAATTCCGAGTAGTACAGAGTCAAGGATGAAGCCTTTTACACACTTTTTGAGACTTTTCACTAGGTGGGTCTGATTCATTTGTCAGCATTCTTTGGATTCTGGTGCTCAGTTGAAAATCCACCAAGCTGTATAGTCTAAATGAATTGTGGTTGACAATTTTTAATTGCAGAATCATTTGCTTAAATGAAATATTACACAGAAGAGCTATGACATACAGAACAACTCGGTTGACTCAGAGATAAGGGGTAAGGTATTCCAGGAACTGCTTTTCTCCACCCTGTGAGAGGATTCTATGGACCATAATCTGAAAATCATGTTTTCCACCCAGATTTATGGCCTTCTATCTGGATGTATCACTTCTTAATATATTGTAGTTCTACACTTACTATTCAGAGGATTTATTGCAAATATGTTGTGATCTTCTTAAAACCAGTTCCATTTAACAGTACAGAACCTGCCCTCAGACAAAGATGGTGAAAATCAAATGTTCAATTTTCATGATTTTGGAGTCCAAGGATTCCCAAGCACAAAAGAAAAGCCTGTGATTGCAGCAGGTTGCACCATCCAAGGCAAAGGAATTTACTCCCCAGAGACACTGAAGTACTAACCAGCTCTGTTACTATCATTACCCATTCCTCAACAGCAATTCCAACTTGGTCTGCTGGAATAATTATTCACATAATGCCTCTTTGATTTTAAGCAATTATTTTCCATCTTAAATTTATTTTTAATAATTAATAGGCAGTTTAGTGCAGTTTTAGATTTACCAAATGAATTACTTAATAAATAAATGAGCAGATAGTACCTAGGGTTGCATATATGCACCTCGTCCACCAGTCTCCATTTAATTTATTTTTAATTACAGAAATAATATATGAATGCATTATTCTTATTGACTATAATGAAGGCAAAATTAGCCTGGGTCTTTCCTCCTCTTCCTGGTAACCACTGTGATCATTTTGGAGTGTTTTCTTCTAGGACTTTTCCTGTGATATGTTAACATATATAGTATCCTAGCAAGTGATTATTATTATAACCATTATTTTAAAGCCAATTAGTGTCCTGAATGTCTTGGTCTAGAGCTTGCTTTCTGCTAATTACCAATGTGTTTTGAAGATTCTTCCATGTTAGTTTATTTATCTGTCCACCAACAGATAGACATTGGTGCTGTTTCCATTCTTTTGCTGTTACACATGATGCAGAATCACAGTCTTTGTAAACAACATGTTGGTTGTGCTTGTTTTTCTCTGAAATGTGGAATTGCTGGGTAATAAGATTGGTGTTTTGTTTTGTTTTGTTTTTGACTCAGAGTTGCCCTTGTCCATCTGGCTGGAGTGCAGTGGCGTGATCTCGTCTCACTGCAACCTCCGCCTCCCAGGCTCAAGCAATTCTGCCTGCCTCAGCCTCCCTAGTAGCTGGGATCACAGGCACCTGCCACCATACCAGGCTAATTTTTGTGTTTTTAGTAGAGATGGGATTTCATCATGTTGACCAGGCTGGTCTCAAACTCCCAACCTCAGGTGATCTGCCTGCCTTGGCCTCCCAAAGTGCTGGGATTACAGGTGTGAGTCACCAAGCCTGGACTAGTGGTGTGTTTTAAGAAATGGATACTGCAAAATTAACCTCTAAAATGTCTTTGCCAATCTGGAAAGATAAGTGATTGCTGTAAAACAAAAAATGTCTTTACCAACTTATATGTTCACCAGCAGGGATTGAGAGTGTCCCCTTTCCTGCACATTTACCAACACTTAATATTGTCAGAATTTAATATTTTCCCAACATAATGGGGGAAATGGTTTCCTACTTTAATTTGCATTTCTCTATAATTACTAGTGATGTTGAACATCTTTTCATATGTTTACTGGGCATTTGTATTTTCTAGCCTTTCTTTTCCTTTTAAAATGGAGATTAATAGGAAATAAGGATTTAATTTGGAGGCTTTATTTGGTAGCTGCTTTTCTTGAATGTGTCTATTCTGGAATGGCTGAAGTAAACAAAAATTTTTTAAAGCACGTAATATCATTAGCATGGCAAATTTGGCCTAGGTTACAACTGTAATTTAAATGTTTGGTGGTTAAATTTTATATATATTACCTTTATTACTTACCTACCTTCATTGAAATGATGTATAAAATCAAGAGCATGTTTAATCATTTTTCTCATTTGATCCAAGATATCAGCTCTCAGAATCCCTTGAGGCTGAGGACCAATTTCTATACTTAGGTACAGAAGGAGAGACAGTCACATTAATACCAGTAATAAAATATATTATAAAACTAAGCATCTTAATGTACCAAGATTTAGAATTATGTTCTTCAAAATTATTAAAAAGGTGAATCATGTACATTACGGAAAATATTTGAGGTGTCATGTTTGGCAAAAGGAAAGCAGAACATTTACACGTGTAAGTTATATGCATAGTGAATAAAGACCAGGAGAGAACATGGATGAAAAATCAGTACTGTTAGACATAGGAAACTCTGTGTTTTTTTCCTTTAAATTTCCTTCAATATTGCAAAATATTTAAAAATCATAACATAGTAGAAGAGGTGAACAAGTTTATGCTGACAAAATAAGAGGTGGACATGAAGAGAAACTGTTAAGGTTTGACATTTAGCTTTGACGGGAGGAAGGACATCTATTTAGTCACAGAAATCTAGACAAGATGAATCATGGATGTAAGTCAATGTGACAATCTGTGTGACCCTTCAGCAACAATTTTTTTGTGGATGGAGTCTTGCTTTGTTGCCCAGGCTGGAGTGCAATGGCACTATCTTGGCTCACTGCAACCTCTGCCTCCCGGGTTCATGCGATTCTCCTGCCTCAGCCTCCTGAGTAGCTGAATTACAAACATGTGCCACCATGCCCAGCAAATTTTTGTATTTTTAGTAGAGGCAGAGTTTCACCATGTTGGCTAGGTTGGTTTTGAATCCTGACCTGCCTGCCTTGGCCTCCCAAAGTGCTGGGATTACAGGAGTGAGCCACTTCACCTGGCCAAGCAACAATTTTGACCTTAACATAATTATCCATCCTAATACAATAGTGCAATGGTTTTAATTTTTCTTTCTTTCATTTTTTTTTCTTTTCTGAGATGGAGTGTCACTCTTGTCACCCAAGCTGGAGGGAAATGGCGTGATCTTGGCTCACTGCAACCTCTGCCTCCCAGGTTCAGGCACTTCTCCTGCCTCAGCCTCCTGAGTAGCTAGGATTACAGGCAAGGGCCACCATTCCTGGCTTATTTTTGTATTTTTAGTAGAGATGGGCTTTTGCCATGTTGGTGAGGCTGGTCTTGAACTCCTGACCACAGATAATCTGCCCTCCTGGGCCTCCCCAAGTGCTGGGATTACAGACATGAGCCGCCATCATGCCCAGCCTGGTTTTAATTTTACGTAGGAAAAATGTGTATTCATTTCTCATGACTCATATGAAAGGATGCCTGTCCTGTTGGGTCTACTTGGTATGACTGTCAAACATCCATCCTGACACCTACAAAATACTCTTTCTGTAAACTACTTCTGTAGACCTTTCCTTCCTATTCAAGCCTCCCACAAAGCCACCTCCCCAGCCATCACCTTCGCCATTTATCAAACCATTTACCAAATGCACAGCCCTCATTCTCTCCCACCCTATTCATGGACTACATTCTTTTCCACTCCTCCTATTTTCACCCACTTCTGTTATTTCCCAATACACAAAATCCCATCATATCCTCTTGCATCAGTTCTTGTTTGTTGTGCTTAGGTTTCCTGCATAAATGTATGAACATATATTTAAGTATATGGTGTCATAAATGCATGTGTGCATAAATGACTTATGCAAATATGTGAAAAAGTGTGTTTGTAGATATGTCTGTAGGAATACTACAGAATACGGTGTTGTTTGCCTACCCAAAATCCACTTCACCTTCCTCCTTTTTCTAATAGAATCCTGGTTTTAGTTGGGCTTCCAATCTTCAAGGTAGGTAAATTTTTCTCCAGTTGAAGAGTTAATGTTGAACAATTTAAGTCAATCATAGTAATCCCCTAGTCAATGATCTAAGAATGAAGGAATCTTTATTATGCACAAAAGTATCAATACTTGAAGTAAGGAATTGGTGTAAGCTAAATACCCAAATAGAGGCAATTAGCTGAAACACACCAAAGGCTTAGCAATAAGAGATACAGATCCTGTTTCTCTGTGACACCAAATAAAAGCACAAGCTTTCCAAACTTTCAAATATCAGTCTTGGTCTCTGATATTTGCAGGCAATGCTACTCTTACCCAGAACAAACATCTGCTGATATGTTTGGCCCTTATGAGTTGAGCCAAATCTTTAAAATGTTTCAATCTGAGGGAATATTAAGCTCATTGTAAATAATTAGAAATGTTATATGCTCTCCTTTCAACTTTGCGGTTTTATTTGGATGATTTTTATCTCATGCACTCATTGGAAAATAAAGCATGTTTAACATCAGAGAGACAATTTTTCTGAGTCAACATTTTATGACACACTAAGAATATTACTGCATACAGATTTGCTTTAACTTCTAGTTGGCACTTACAAGAACCACCTTTGCATTCTGTTCCCAAGGCAGAAGAAATGTGACAGGATATTCTAGGTAAACCTTATCTTGGAAAGAAGCAGTGTACTGCAGCCAGTCTTAGGATCATGCAGAGACACACACACACACACACACACACACACACACACACGGAAAGCAACTGGACGCAGCCTACTCCTAATTTTCTCAGATCAACGATGGTCTCATTTGAGACTTAGAAAGTTGTTTGTGTAACCATTATTCATTCAGCTCCACCCCGACTCTGCCATAGCCATAACCTACAATCTAAATATTCTGCTCTGATATGAGATCTTGTAGCGAAAACTTAACTTTTGGTTTGGACAATGTGGTCACCAAAGATGGCCATATAAAGATCCCTTTATTATGCACAAAAGGATCAATACTTGAATATCCAGAATAATTTTAGATTTTTATTTATTTACATTGTTTGCCAACCTGGTTTTAAATTAAATTACTCTTAGCTAAGCCATCTGAGATTTAACAAAACTATTTTAAGTTGTAATTTTAATTGTAGTGTAGTCTGCAGATAACTAATTATGCTAATGGGGCACTCAGGAAAGAGAATGGAATAGATAAGAAAGAGCATCTGTTGGAGAGGGTGCACCAGAGTGTGGGGCTGCACGTTGGAAGTACCAGAAGGTAAAGATGGACTCACAGCCTAGTAACTGGCCGGGTAAACAAGAGAACAGATGACAAACAGTTCATGAAACCTCTATTGCAAAGCAGGTGACAAGAGGGATGTGGAGAGAGGATTCTTCATGGGTCTTTTGCATTTCTGCAAGTCTCGTGAGCAAGACATTAATTTTTTTTTTTTGAAACAGAGTCATGTTCTGTTGCCCAGGCTGGAGTGTAGTGGTGCGATCTTAGCTCACTGCCACCTCTGACTCCTAGGTTCAAGCAATTCTCCTGCCTCAGCTTCCTGAGTAGCTGGGATTATGGGCACCCACCACCATGCCCAGCTAATTTTTGTATTTTTAGTAGAGATGGGGTTTCACCATGTTGGCCAGGATGGTCTTGATCTCCTGACCTCGTGATCCACCTACCTCGGCCTTCCAAAGTGCTGGGATTAGAGGCATGAGCCACTGAGCCTGGCCTGACATAGACTATTTTTGTTCCAGATTATCTTTTCAAGGATGTCTGTACAGTGAACAGCCTTGGAAGTTAGGAATGGGGTTTTCCTTGGGACAAAGGGCACTCATGCTTACTGCCCATTATACAAAATTAAGACTCCTCTGCTGAGTGTTTCTCTCCTAGAATGCAGCCAGTGGCATGTAGAACTGCCTCTGACTTCTTTCATGTCATTCTGTGGGAACTGGAGCTTTGGGAGTGGTGTAAAAGTGCTGACACTCTGCTATTACTACTGTTAGTCACCTGTTTTTGGTCTCTGTTTCAGGAGTCTTGTGTCTTCTACTGGCATCCACACAAAAGTGCCAAGCTCATCGTTAACGTGGAAGTTGGGTAAAATTTCTCAGATCTTTTATAGGTCTTGATAAGGAGAGGCTGGAAAACAACCCGGAGTAGGTCGCTGGCAGCATGAGCACTTCGGAGAAACAGACCCCTTGCCTTTCTGATCCAATCAAATCAGACCACTCTGGACAAGCTCATGAATGTATGTATTACCAAAGTTAGATGGCTAGTATTTTTCGCAGTGACTCACACCTGTCATCCCAGCACTTTGGGAGGCTGAGGCAGGTGAATCACCTGAGGTCAGGAGTTCAAGACCAACCTGGCCAACATGGTGAAACCCCGTCTCTACTAAAAATACAAAAATTAGCTGGGTGTGGTGACACATACCTGTAATCCCAGCAACTAGGGAGCTTGAGGCAGGAGAATCTCTTGAACTGGGGAGGTGGAAGTTGTAATGAGCCGAGAGCATACCACTGTACTCCAGCCTGGGTGACAGAGCAAGACTCTGTTTCAGAAAAAAGAAAAATTTCTCTGAGTTTCAGCTAGGATATATTTTATGGCATTATGTCAACGGGAACTACAACTTACCCACAGGATACTTAGCTATAGAATGAGTGGTTGCATATTTGAGGGAAGGATGCTCAATAAGATACACATAGCAGGGCAATGGAGCCAAGGAAGTCTGAAAAACAGTTAAAATGTCTTTCTCATTATGTTAAAACCATGTGTTTTGTTCTCTTCACTTCAAGAGAGTCAATAATACCTTCAGTACATTTTACTTCATCAAGTAAGACTGGTAAGATAGCTTTATGAAACACTGTAAAACCCAGTGTTTACAGATTTGAAAACAAATAAATTATACAATATAAAATTCATATAAAATTGAATTATGCCATGTCTTTCCAGGTAAAATGTACATTAAATACTTCTCCAGACCCATGATCCAAAAACATGAATTCAATGTTCTTTCTTAATGGCTGCAGTTATTTTTATTTCATCACTGGTTGCACTATATAGCTTGGTATTGGTGTCTTACACAATTCTGTTTCTACTCCTGTGGTCCAGCTCTCTACAGATGTTGGGTGGTTCCCCCTCCTGCTTATCCACACGAGAATTTAAGACAGGCCTCTTGGTTCTTGTAACAAAGTGTCAGTAACACTGCCTCCGTGTCTGGCCACCAAAGCATTCAGCTCTCTCTTCAATAGGCAACAAGGAATAGCTACATCATTTCTCCTATGAGGACCACCACCCAGTTATTATCCAAAGCTTAAGGGAAACAAAAATAACAGTTAATCTTTACTATAGGTTAGGTATTAGGCTAAATGCTTTAAATACTTTATGTCATTGAGTGCCCTCATGGGTAAGTGTTGTTACAATCCCAATTTTATAAAATGAGGGAAGCGGCTGGGTGCGGTGGCTCATGCCTGTAATCCCAGAACTTTGGGAGGCCAGGGTGGGTGGATCATGAGGTCAGGAGATCAACACCATGCTGGCCAACATGGTGAAACCCCGTCTCTACTAAAATTACAAAAATTAGCTGGGTGTGGTGGTGCATGCCTGTAGTCCCAGCTACTTGGGAGGCTGAGGCAGGAGAATTGCTTGAACCTGGGAGGCGGAGTTTGCAGTGAGCCAAGGTCATGCCACTGCACTCCAGCCTGGCACCTGCCAACGGAGTGAGACTCTGTCTAAAAAAAAAAAAAAAAAAAAAAAAAAAAAAGAAATGAGGGGAGGAAGGTTTTGGGAATGGTGTGTTCTGTCTAAGGTTAGTGAAGGAGAAAGTGAGGATCTGAACACAGGTTACACTCTTTCCTCCCAATCATACTAGCTGTCAAGAAGGAAGGCTATCTAGTGCACAGAAATAAGCATACAATTCTTTGTGTGTGTTTCTGGTTGGTTGCTGTTTTCTAGCAAATTTTCTCTGAGATTTCTGAACCTTAAAATGATTAACTATATGAAACACTGAAAGATTAGATGTGTTCTGGGGTACCTAGATCAAATGCAGACAAGGGCAGGACTAAAGGGAGGCAATCTTTTTATCACTGTGCTTTAGTCAACATTAAATGACTATTTCTGAAGTTTCCTAAAACCTTGTAATTGAGATAGTTTGACCACACCATTTAAAATTTTAATATTAATTTTACTTGGTTTTAACAAACAGCCCACAGTCTGGTGGCTGTCTGGATAAAATGTGTAATTTTATAGACACAAGAATCCACAAGTGTTTTATTATTTTATTAATTGTGTTTATGATTTTACTTATTTCCTCTTTTTTTCTTTTTTCTTTTGCCACTGCCTCTGTATTTTGGCAGCACCCTTTCCCTGAGCCACCAAACCTGGCTGTGGAATAAATCCCATTTGTCTCACACCTTCCCTTGTAACTGTTTTCTGATTGTCTCACATCTATAATTGACTTAAAAGTACAAGTCCTTTGCTAATTTATAAATTAATAACATTAACATTACCTTAATATAATGAAACATCTGAATTAAAAAGTCATTCCTGGAATCCTCAAGAATAAGAGTGCACCCCATGTTAGAGGTAGTATTGTGAAGGTCAAAAACAATGTCATAGGCATCTTCACTATATTTTGGAACAAATAAATGATTTATTTCTTGAGCTCTTCTCACTTCATATGGCAAATCTTCTGACTTTCTTTTGCTGTTATAAGCAGAAACAAAAAGATTAACAACATCCATGCTGAGATAATATAAATAGAATAAGAACACAGTGTGAAAACGACCAGTTGCCAAATCTTTAATATGAAAAATCTGTATGGGAAGTAAAAACTTACCTGAAATGTTTATAAATGAAAAATTACAAACTTTTTCTTCATTTGATTCATATAACTAATGTTGCATTGGCATGCTTGCAAACTAATCAGTTCATTTATGCCGCTGTTCATGAACAAGGCAGACATATCAAGCAGAATTTATCATTTGATTTCAATCTTAAACAAAACATATCCATTAATTTAATGAACAGTTTCTTAGTAGTTATGGTACACTGGGTTATTTATTATGGGACTAGACAATCAAATGCATTGTCTTCCCCCCACTTTAGCTAACTCTAGTGCACAAATATAGTCACTTAGGGGCTCACAGAATTTAATTAGAGATTTTTTAAATTTTTTGAGACAGGGTCTTGCTCTGCTGCCCAAGCTGGAGTGCAGTGGCTCAATCATGGCTCACTGTACCCTCAAACTCCTGGACTCAAGCAGTCCTCCATCTCAGCCTCCTGAGTAGCTGCGACTACAGGTGCATGCCACCATGCCCAGCTATTCTTATTCTTCTTATCTTTTGTGGAGATGAAGTCTTGCTATGTTGCCATGGCTGGTCTTGAACTAAAATCGCCTTTGCAAACATTGTAATTGAGACAACTGTTTTATTTATTTATTTATTTATTTTTGAGACAGAGTCTCACTCCGTCACCCAGGCTGGAGTGCAGTGGTGTGATATTGGCTCACTGCAACCTCTGCCTCCCGGGTTCAAGCGATTTTCCTGCCTCAGCCTCCTGAGTAGCTGAGACTACAGGCATGTGCAACCACACCCTGCTAATTTTTTGTATTTTTAGTAAAGATAGGGTTTCACTGTGTTAGCCAGGATGGTCTTCATCTCCTGACCTTGTGATCGGTCCACCTCAGCCTCCCAAAGTGCTGGGATTACAGGCATGAGCCACCACGCCTGGCCAACTGAGACAATTATTACAATGTAAGAGATCTAACCTGACTTCATCTTGCTTCTAATCTCCAAGCCATCCTCATTCATGCCTGGGTGTAAGCTGAACTAACTTTGGGAGGAACTTAGTTTATAGTTTAACTTTGAAACAAAGATAACAGCTCTTTCCCAAAATAAACCCCCTTCCTACCTGGAGACTAGACTGCCTTTGTAGGACTAATGAGCCCCAAGATTAGAAATTACGGTGTAAAAGTCATGCAGCTGGAGGCCGCAAGATTCTGAACCTCCTCAAATTGCTCCTGGGGATAACACCACTATTGTAAAACCTAAGATCACTGCTTCAGGTATTTTGCAAACTCTGAACTTGATAGATCAGCTGGCACCACCCAGATGGATAAACTGGCTCCTCTGGTCTTGTGGCCCCCACCCAGGAACTGATCCAGTGCTAGAAGACAGCTCCAGTTCCCTATGAGTTTACCTCCCATCTGACCAAACAGCATTCCTGACTCACTCCCTGTGATTTTACCTCTGATCTAACCCATCATCACTCCTAACTCACTGGCCCTGTAACCACCAAATAATCCTGAAAAATTCTAGTCTCTAAATTTTCAGAAAGACTGATTTGAGTAATAATAAAACTCTGGCCTTCTGTATAGCCAGCTCTTTGTGAATTAAACTCTTTATTGCAATTCCCTTGTCTTGATAAATCAGCTCTGTCTGGGCAGTGGAAAAGGAGAACTTGCTGGGTGGTTACAGAACTCTTGGCCTCAAGCAATCCTCCTGCCTTGGCCTCCCAAAGTGCTGGAATTACAAGCATGAGCAACTACACCTGGCCTACTTAGAGGTTCTTAATTGAGGTTCAGGAACCACCAGAGGTCCAGGGACAAAGTTTCCAGAGTCTGTAACCTCTTCAAAAATGCCAAAAGTTTGTTGGTACACGTACGTGTATTTTTCTGGCACAAGGGCCAATAGTTTTTCTTCCATTCTCAAATGGGCCTCTGTCCTCTCCCTACTTCCCGAAATGGTTAGGGTACATTTTTTTCTATATATAATAGTGTTTTAAATTTACTTTTCCTCATTAAGCCATTCAAGCACATTTTCCTAAAATTCCATCTATTTGTTTTCCTTGGCTATTTTTGCTAGTATCTTCAAGGGACCTACTGCTTACAGCTGGGTAAATCCTGCCTGGAATGCAATCAGGAAGGTGGAGTTGTTATTTTGTGAATTAGAAGCAAGAACCATGGGGACAAAGCTGGCATGTTGAAAGAGTGCAGCGGGAAGATAGAAGGAACCTGTGACATTGACGATATGGTGCGGCTGCTGCACGGGACCGGACTGCTACCTCTGGACTTACTACTTGTGAACAAGAAACCTTATTTGTTTAAACCACTATTCTCAGGTTCCTATTATATGCAAACAAAACCTGATGGGTATGTATGCATTTTAGAAATTAATTCATGAAATAACCCCCTGAGGTTGCCCTCAACAATTTTGGTTCTATATCATTCTTCTGCATTTGAGTAAATGGAGCTAGTATCTACCTAGTTGCTCAGAGTCAAGTCTTGAAGTTTTGAAGTGATGAACACTTTGAGTTCTCATGCTTGCAGTTCAGCTCCCACTGGAAGAGTCCCAAAAAATGAAAAATAGGGAAAAGTGAGATTCTGAAGGGCGTTAGCCATACTAAGTTGATTAAATCTACTCTGGACACATTTAAAAAAATTTTTCAGCAGGGGAGAGACATGATAAGATTTGCATAGTAGGATGATTTCTAGAGGTATCAGATGGAAAACAGATGGCAGGAAGGGTAAGAGCAAGTCTGGATGCAGAGAGATCTTTTAGGAGGCTATTCTAACTGTCCAGAGAAGAAATAAACTAAGGAAGTAGAAATGGAGAGAAAGGCTGGATTTGTAAAGAACTTGCAAGGAATAATTGGGAGGACTTAGCAACCCACTAGACCTGGGGTACAGAGCCCTGGGAAGGTTCTAGGGTGATTTTCATAGGGGACTTGGTAGATAATGAAGCTACCACTGAGAGGAGGAATACAGGAAAATGAATAAATTTGGGAGAGGTAAGATGGGAGAAGTTAATTAGTTTATTGATTTTATAATTTTTTAACCACCCTGAGAACAGTGTAGTCTCTGAATACTGTTAACAGTAAGAGGCAGAAAGTGGGTTTAACTGAAGACTGTGCTCACTGAAATGCATACAGCTCATAAACTCGCCCAGTCAATTTCAGACTTATTTTGGGAACTTAACATGCTGACTAAAAGTTACTCTTCAATAAATTCTTACTTGTAATATTGGCCAGGTGTGGTGGCTCACACCTGTAATCCCAGCGCTTTGGGAGGCTAAGGCAGATGGACCACAAAGTCAGAAGGTCAAGATCAGCCTGGCCAATATGTTGAAATCTCGTCTCTACTAAAAATACAAAAATTAGCTGGGTGTGGTGGTGGGCACCTGTAGTCCCAGCTACTCAGGAGGCTGAGACCCAGAGAATTGCTTGAACCCAGGAGGCAGAGGTTGCAGTGAGCTGACATTGTGCCACTGCACTCCAGCCTGGTGACAGAGTGAGATTCTGAGATTCCATCTCCAAAAAAAAAAAAAACAAAGTCAGTTAACAGCTATCTTAGATTAATATAAGCATGAATTGTGTTGACATGACCTTAGTCATGAAGATAAAGCATTTCTCAAATTAAAATTCACACTAGTAAAAATATGACTTGATACAAACAGGATGACTAACTGTGTAATTGCTCTAAATAACATCTATTCCATAAAGAAGGGCATATTTCTATTGAGAATAGTGTCCATTTTTTGATCTGTGGTGAGACTAAACCTGAGGAATTGTCTAACTCAAATTAGAGTTGATCAGAAAACAAGCTCATAGAACAGTGCCCCAAGTTGTGCCTGTGCGTGTCTTCTATCTTAGCTAGTTGTCCACTGACTCCTTGAGGGGTAGAAACCATGTTGTATAGAGCTTTGTACTCCCTCAGTACCTGGCACAGTTTCCTGAGAAAAACAGATGTTTCACAATATTTTTTAGTCAAAGAAAGTGGCTGGGTGTGGTGGCTCATGCCTATACTCCTAACACTTTGGGAAGCTGAGTAGGGTGGATCACCTGAGGCCAGGAGTTCAAGACCAGCCTGGCCAACATGGCAAAACCCTGTCTCTAATAAAAAACATAAAACATTACCCAGACATGGTGGCAGGTGCATGTAATCCCAGCTACTCAGGAGGCTGAGGCAGGAGAATCACTTTAACCCAGGAGGCAGAGGCTGCAGTGAGATGAGATTGCACCAATGCACTCCAGCCTGGGCAACAAGAGTGAAACTCTGTCTCAAAAAAAAAAAAAAAAAAAAAAAAAAAAAAAAAAAAAAGAAAGAAAGAAAAAGGAAAAAAAAAAAAGAAAGAAGTGGTAAAAAGCAAATTGTGGAGGCATATCCACAGCCTGGTAGCTATTATGATGTAATCAAAGGCAAAAATAATTAATAAGGACCTAACCTAGCATGTTATGATGACATACAGTGTATGCAATATATTGCATCCAGCAAAATTTGAATTCTGAAAATTCAGGTGAAATGTCTTTAGTTCTCATCTCTGGCATCCCACCTAAGACAATCCACCACTGAGGTTAAGCACGTCTATTACTTCGGATCACGGGGTAGTCTGATATCTTTTGGCAAAAGGTATTTAATCACTGTTTCCTTCAGCAAACATTACTTGAAACATTACATTTTTCTGAACTAGAACTTTATGCATATTATAAGCATAGTTGCTTGAAACCATAGTAGTGAATTTCCTAAGAAGCTAACAATAATGTATACAAGTATATCAGCCAAACACTAACTCGGTGCAAAGGATTATTAAATCTTTTTCTCTAAAGAGATGATTTAAAAACAAAACTATTTTCTATTTATTGTCTCAGTCTGTATACATTTGAAAACTTAATCATTAATGCGGTGCTTAAGAAAGTTTAGAAAAGAGCATGTGAATGCTTAGTTTAGATAATTGTGTAATTCACAATGCAGTGTAACTAAAAGTGAAAGTGATCTTATTCAACATAGTGACTGCATGTACGGACATGAATTATATGCATATACATATATGTGTTCTCTTTCACATGCCTACCACTTTTCACAGACAAATACATACATACATACACAATACAAAACATAGTCTTACCCAAGATTTTCAAGGTCAAAAATGTGATTCAGGTCACAGTCAAGAGATCTGGTACACTTCTTCACTGCTCTTGGGTTAGTAATATATGATTTTACCTCCAGCCCTGTTCTCTGAACTTCAGCGCCATTCTTTAGCCAATGCTTAACCCGAAATACTCCAGTTAGCTCATTCCCATGGGTTCCTCCAAAGATAGCGACCTTTTTAATAGGTTCTTCAGCAATGTGACAAGAAGTCATTTTACCAAGTAGTTTTATATCTGATTTCTGCAATTCAGAGGAGAGATCAAAAGAAATTCAATTTCTTAAGAAAGCTTTAGAAATTCAAATCTAAATGAGACTTTAACCAAAGGGCAAAGTACAGAGTTCCCTTGAGAGGAGTATATTTTAACTTTTTGTTACAAGTTCTGAGCCCCATTTATGGACACTCTCTTTTTTATCCCTGCCTTTTTCCATAAAAATATGCAAAGATCAACTACAGATACAGCTGTTTACTTTAACTTCTAACTCCCTCAGATGGCCAGTAGATCTAAATACAGTAATAAATTAGCATTTCATACTAATACAAAAATTCTGTTCTTTTCCTCAGCTAGAGTGTCATCCAGTGAGGCTTTCACAATTACTTGTAATAATAAAACTTGTTTATACATTTCTAATCTCAAAAAAAGTGGCCCACTCAGTATTTCCATTGGCATTTAAAAACATTTCTACTCTGAAATGAGTTCAAGCACTTTTCATGATCGGAGGGCATCTGAATCTCACCTCTAAGCAGCCAAAGGCTGACCCTCAGAGACTTCTTCTTGAACTGACACCCATTCTTTCAGAATGCTTTTTCACAGTCAGAAACAGATGGGCCAATTCAATGATCACTGGGACTTGAAAAACTACTCTGAAACATCCCTTAATTTCTTTCTCATGAAGTTTTTGGTAATTCTCTGTTAACTTCCGTATGAATCTTCCTCATATTTTTGCCTAAATACCAAAAAAAAGACAACTGTTAGTAATTTTCAAGTCTTTATGATGCCTGGAAATATCTTGGGACATCCTCCATTACTAACCACATCATGTGAACTTACACACACAGCCTAACTCACTGTCAGCAGGGACTCTCCACTGAACTGTGTTATTCAAAAGGGGATCTTATTAGGGGAAGTTATCCAGAATACCAAGATGATTACATCCCTTTGGAGAAATGACTCTGAGCCAATCTGATTTGATTTCATGCTTAATCACTCAGAAAGACAAATATGTTCAAGTACTGAAAATACCACGTACTAGTAATGCCAGGTTTGATAGAGGGTACGATAAGAGTAATTTATTACCATTGCACAGTATCTTAATCTATAATGTTCCTCCACTCAGTTTACTCATACATCAATTTTATAAGGTAGGGTGGGTTAGGTATTGAGATCCCCACTGCAGGGGTAAATAAAAGAGAGGTTAAGTAACCCAATTAAGGTTCTGCAGGGACATAGGAGAAACTAGGCCTGGGACCCGTGTTTCTCATTCCAAGTCATGTGTTTTTCGCAGGACAATAGGGTGCCTCTCTGTTATTTTTGGTTTTCTTCATGGTTCAGTTCTAGTTTTACTCTTTCCCAATTCATATAAAGAGCCATTACAGAGTGCTTGGGAAACCAGCATGTATATAAAAAAATACATGGTGGAAAAATAAAATATGAATGCTTTCTAATATTTAATAAACCAAATTGGATGTTCTTCCTTTAAGAGCTTTAATGCAAAGATAGAGAAAGCAAAATCACCAAATCAAATCTATACATGAAAACTACTGTTCTAATATTTTTAAAAAGCTCCTGTAGCCTTTGACTCTCTATTGGCGTCCATGTACACCGAACACTTCATTCAGATGGTGTAGAGATGATGAAAACACACATAAACGGACACGGATGGCAGTTGTTTAGTTGCTCTGGTTTTAAGAGCAGTAACTATGGTGAATTATTAACACTCTACTATGCTTGGTTTCTTTTCTGCGGATTTGTAGTTTGTTCCATCCTTTGCCCTAGTCTCTCTAGAAATGCTGCTTCAGTTATTTACTTGTATCTGGCACAAATGACTTACATTCTGAAGCTTGTTTTATGGAATTTTAACAGATCAGCACTTTGAGGCACATTATCACATTCATAAATAAAGTTTCCCTTACATGTCAGAAGGAATAATTTTTTTGAGAGTTAGTGAATTGCAGTAATTATTTCCCATACTTACCTTGTTGATTGTGCACAAAGTTTGTCTTCTGTGGGAAGCTTTACTAGGAAAAAGGAGAGCATTTCCTTAAACTAGAGCAAGAGGCTTTTCATACTCTTATACCAAGTTAACTTCTGAAAGGTTTTTAATTCCCTGTTTCCCAAAGCGTACTTGATTTTTGGGACCCACAGAAACCACACATTTTTATTAGCTCACTTCTTTTTTGAGAGTTCTGATAGTATACAGAGAGAGAGAACTGATAGTATACAATGTGAAACCCTTTTTAGTTGTCACTATCTCATTATTAAGTTGAATATATAATGTTCTGAAGTACTCAAAAGAGTAAGCATAACTTCCAGCATTACAAATGTTTTGTGGGATGGAGTTGCCTAATTTAATAGTAAAATAATGTAGTTTAAAACAAAAGAAGGCTGGACGTGGTGGCTCAGGCTTATAATCCCAGCATTCTGGGAGGCTAAGGTGGGTGGACCCCCCCCGAGGTCAGGAGTTCAAGACAGCCTGGCCAACATGGTGAAACCCCGTCTCTATTAAAAATACAAAATTAGCCAGGTGTGGTGGCAGTGCCTGTAATCCCAGCTACTCAGGAGGCTGAGGCAGGAGCATCACTTGAACCCGGAAGCGGAGGTTGCAGTGAGCTGAGATTGTGCCATGCACTCCAATCTGGGCAATGAGAGCAAAACTCCGTCTCAAAAACAAAACAAAAAGAGAGCAAAGTTTTACTTCACAGTCGTGGCTGTCCAGTAGAAGAGAATTATTTTTTTTCTTTTTAGACAGAGTTTCACTCTTGTTGCCCAGGCTGGAGTGCAATGGGGCGATCTCGGCTCACCACAACTTCTGCCTCCTGGGTTCAAGTGATTCTCCTGCCTCAACCTCCCAAGTAGCTGGGATTACAGGCATGTGGCACCACACCCAGCTATTTTTTTTTTTTTTTTGTATTTTTAGTAGAGATGAGGTTTCACCCTGTTGGTCAGGCTGGTCTCGAACTCCCAACCTCAGGTGATCCACCTGCCTTGGCCTCCCAAAGTGCTGGGATTACAGGTGGGAACCACCATGCCTGGCCTTGTAGGAGACAAATTTAAGGTGGGTTGCTTCGTAAATAGTATGATTTGGGGATAAGAAGGGTTTTTTGTTAAAAATTATACATAAGATGGCTCGTATATAATGTGATGTTCAATAGTTATGTAATCAAAACTACTTTTACTACTTCAATTTTCTCCTTCCCTGTGGCCCATCCTGACCAACTGTCCAGGTGGAAATAAATAACAAAAACAAGACAAGGATAAAATAGATTAAGTTTGTAAACTGTTAGCAAAGATTCTATATTGCTCATGTCTGCAGTCCTTACAGATGTAATTGGCTTCAGGTGTTTTTTTTTTAATGAAAAATCTATTTTTGGGGTGGGTAGGTGTGTGTTGTAAATGTATGTATATATGTATGTAGATGTCAAGTCAAAATCTGCTTCTCTGAAGCTTCCATTCATGTTTTGGGTAACTCCTCTCTGGAACCATGATAAATAACAAGTTTTATTTTTATTGTTCCAAGTCTTCTTCTTCCCAAAATACAAGATGACCCTATTTATTGAAAGCTATTCCTTACTCTGGCATTCAAGGTCTGCTATTATCTGGTCCCAGACTACATCTAATATTATTTCCTGTTTCCTAATAAATTATCTCTTTTTGAGATAATTTTCAAAGAAACTACTAAAATGTCTATGTCTTCTATTCCTAGGGCTTTACTGACAATCTTCCTTTCATCTCTGAGCCCTTTCCACCATCTTCAAATGATTAGAAGATATGGTAACAACAAAACATGGTCTTTGAACTCAGAGCTAGAATCCACTACCTGGCCCACAGTAAGATCCGAATAAATGGCAGCTACTGTTATTAATATTAATTAAGGGCTAACATTTACTGCGTGCCAGATTGTCTATTTCATCTTTCAATACTTTTTTTTAGGGCGATTGTTGTTATTGCTCTTTTACTGAGGAAGTAAAAGTAGGTCTAGAAGGCGTTCAATAAACAACCAAGGTCACAGGGCCAGGAATCAGTCTTCTTTGCCAGGAGGCCTGCAGCTCAACGCCCAGGGTCGCACACCACGCAGCTTCCCCCCCCCCGCAGACCGTCTCTGTGGCTCACAGGTGCCTTTCGTCTGGTAAGCTCCTGCAGCCCTGGGCCCTGCCTCACTGACCGCTCTCCGCCTTCCATGGCTGCCACCCGAACCCGGGCTTCAGCTCTGTCCCCAGCCTCCGGGGACTCAGATTCCCTGACCCTGATCCAACCCAGAAATTCAGCCAGATACCTTGGGTGGCCTTCGAGGCACCCTCTGGGTGGCCACCGGTATCTAACAAACAGATGTCTGGGCCCTAAGACATGGCCAGGGGGTGTGGAGAAGCAGGGCACACTTTTTTGAGGATGCTGGGGCTGATGCCAGTTGGGCAGGAGATCTACCCCTGCCTCTCTAGTCACAGGACAGTCTCCTCTCCTCTCTGGGCAAAACTCTAAAGGGTTGGTGCCATCTTTGCACCAACAGCGTGAGAACTTCACAGTGGGAGATCTCCAAAGCGGTGCGTTAACATTAACGCCCCCAGCCAAAGGAGGATAGGCGGGCCAGGAAAACGCCATTGCTCCGAGGAGCCGGCCTCTGCGCATGTGCGGTCCACGGCGCCTACGCAGTGCACGGCGCTTACGCTCGGCGGATTCCCCTACTTTCGTCGCAGAGGGGAAGGGCGGCGGTTGGTGACCGGGCTGCCTGGACGACCGTTGTCTGAGGCGAGGGAAACTGAGGACTGAAGTTGTGTGTTGGGTTGGCAGGAAGGTCTAGAAGGGAAAGACTAGGCATTGACCCCCAATACCAAACTGCCCCATCCGTGGGCGGGTCGGGAGAGGCCTTTGGAAGAGCGTCTCTGCTCTGACTGGAGCCTCTTCTCTCACGCCCCTACCAGGAGCCAAAACGGGCCGCCGTTTGAGGCCGCGGCATTTGTGGGTGGCATGTGTGTGCGCTCACATGCTCAATCTGCAAACTTTTTGCACACCAATGCCACCAACCCTCTTACTAAGGCCACTTAGGTCCATTCAGAAGCCAGGGTTGGGGGCTTCTGCCCTCAAGATGAGTGGCATATTGGGGTCCCTGCTCATCTTGGGGTCCCCGCTCATCTTGGGGTCCCCACTCATCTTGGAGTCCCTGCCCTTAGGATCAGTATCCCTGTGGGGAGAATGTTACACTTGAAAACATTTTTGTTGGCCGGGCGTGGTGGCTCACACCTGTAATCATAGCACTTTGGGAGGCCGAGGTAGGCAGATCATGAAATCAGGAGCTCGAGACCAGCCTGGCAAACATGGTGAAACCCCATCTCTACTAAAATAGAAAAATCAGCCAGGCGTGGGGGCACGCACCTGTAATCCCAGCTACTCGGGAGGCTGAGGCAGGAGAATCACTTGAACCTGGGAGGCAGAGGTTGCAGTGACCCGATATCAAGCCATTGCACTCCAGCCTGGGTGACAGAAGGAGACTCCATCTCAAAAATAAAAAAGAAAATTTTTGATGCTGTTTATTGTTTGTTTGATACTAAAAAACATCTTAGCCTTTGTAAGTCCCTCTAAATATAGGATGTGAGTTGCGCTGGTAGAGAATGTAGCAGAATCTCTTTCCTGGCTCCTAGGATGGCACAAGAATATTTTCTAAAGGGTCTGTCTCGGCCCAGCTTCAAGCCCAAGATATTGGACCAAAGCAGAGGCAGCACCTGACCTAGTGTTTCCCAAGTTTTATTTTTACATACGATAGTGGAAAATGCATACCTCGGCCTGACTCGCATGTTGCTTAGTTGTTTATGTGTCTGTCTGTCTCATTGGGTCGTGAATTTGGAACAGATGTTACCTGGTTTGGGTTTGTATCTTGCCTCTTCATGCGATGGGCAAGTGTTTGTTGAATTAGATTGGGGTTGAAATGTATTAGGGCGAAACATGCAAAATTACAAGAGAACTTCTATTGTAAAAGAAGAAAACTAAGGAAAAACTTGTTTGACTTGTTGAAGTTGTGGAAATGGAGTCGCAACTTATCATTACAATTATTCTGGATATGAAAGGAGGAGTTAGTCTTTTTTTTTTTTTAAGACGGAGTCTGGCTCTTACCGCCCAGGCTGGAGTGCAGTGGTGGAATCTCGGCCCACTGCAACTTCTGTCGGTCTCCCAGATTCAAGCAATTCTCCTGCCTTGGCCTCCTGAATGGCTGGGACTACAGGTGCCCACCACCATGCCTGGCTAATTTTTGTATCTGTTTTTTAATTTAAAAAAGATTTGTATTTTTAGTGGAGATGGAGTTTCACCATGTTGGTCAGGCTGGTTGTGAGCTCCTGACCTTAGAGGATCTACCTGCCTCGGCTTCCCAAAGTACTGGGATTATGGATGCCCACCACCTCACCTGGCTAATTTTGTGTTTTTAGTAGAGACGGGGTTTCACATGTTGGCCAGGCTGGTCTTGAAGTCCTGATCTCAGGAGGATTTAGTCTTTGGTATTATATAACCCAGGCAGTTCAAACTGATGCCAAAGCAGATAACCTGCACAGTGTCCTAAAGTGGGGCATGGAGGATGTTCCCAGTGGCTAAATACTGTGTTTCCTTCCTAGTCTTGGAAGCATATATATTTGCCAGTGCTGTCATCCATTTTCCTCTTTGTATTTCTGGTTCAAAATTCTCTTTGTGGGTGTTGGATTCTAAAATAAATTACATATACTGTGTGAAAAAATCTGCATATGTTTCAGAAGCAAGGTTACAGCTGCCCTAGTCATAACTTAATTTGAACAGGGTTGGAGAAGTGGATTATGTTGTAAACTCCTGGAAAGCAAGGGACTCCCTAAAGTATTTACATGATCAGGTTTGAAAGTGGTTTGAAACCATAATTTCAGTAATTACTGGGCTGAGGATTTGGTTTTGTGGTGAGACAATATGAGTTATAAATTTCTTTGCAGGTTTAGTGGGACCACGTCATAAATTTGGAATGCTGAAGGGAAAATTATAGATTTTGATACTGAAGGAAATGAAGCGAAGTCTAAATGAAAATTCAGCTCGAAGTACAGCAGGTATTGAACAACTTTTATATTACAGTTTTCTATATATCATATAAAGCTTGCATAGTTTATAGATGTAACGTTTGGAAATAACTTTAAAATAGATTGAACAGTTAGTCTAGCCTCTTTACTTTTTAGGCCCAAGGAAGTGAAATAACTTACTCAAGACAAAACATTTAGTGGTAGATATGGGAGTAAGATCAAACCTCTTGGATTTATTTTGGTGTTTTTTCTTACAAATTTGACATGCTTGAGTTATTCTATGCTTTTAAACTGGAAACAAAGAAATGGATCTGTTTTTGTTTGTATTTGTGACTGACTTGCTAAAATTGTTTTCAGAAGCACTTCTGTCTTTCTAATAGCTTCTCCTATCACTTTTGCTTTCCCAATTCATTAGAGTAAAGACAGAGGGCAAGGATGAGAACCAGGGAAATGATGATGCATAACGAAGATAATAGTAACTGTTATTTATGGTGGATTAACTGTATTCAAGACATTAATTATATATATTTATTTAATCCTTACACCAATTCTCTGAGATAGGTTATTATAATCATTTCTGTTCTTCAGATGAGAAAAACAAGACTGAAAGAGGTTAAATAAGTAATCTGTGATGTAGCAGAATCAGCATTTGAACCTAGGAATCTGGCTCTTAGTCCATGCTCTTAATCATTATGCTGTCAGTATATGTCATACTGGCACAAAGAATTTAGGGAAATTGCTCAAGGTCATACTCTGAAGTTGTAATTCAAACATACTTTGAAGTCGTAATTCGGAACCAGGCGGTCTGACGCCAGAGTCCATAATTCTCCCAGCCTTCAATCAGAGAGTTTTCAGAGAGTCTGTATTTGCCTGTAATACAACTGATGATGACCAGTTAGAGAATGGTACAGTGGCAAGAGATCTGAACTGATATTTAAGAATCTTGGGTCCTATCTAGATTCTTCTACTGACTTGCTTTATAACAATGCACAAGCATTTTGAACTTGTTTCCCCTTCAAGTTCCCTAAGTTTTAAAGTTTATATTTTGTGACTTTTAGCCTGACTTGAGGTCCTAGATCTGCTATCTGGAGGAACTGGTAGTAGCATTTATTCTTATTTGGACCAGATATTTATTACTCTCTCTCAGGCATTCTCAAAATGATCCACAAAGAAATATAATTACAGACACCTGTTCTTGTTAAAATTGCAGAGTTTTGAGTTCCAGGTTAACTCTATTGAAATAAAATCTGTGAGAAGTGGAGTCCAGGAACTTGCATATTAATCATTCCAGATGAATCTTAGTCCAATGAAGCTTTGAGAACCAAGGCCCAAAAGCATATGGCACTGTTGTTCAAAGCATGGTTCAGAGCTTGGTTCTTCCTCAACTCCATTGTACTCCAAAGGTCCCCTGCAGTGGATATGGTAATAGGCAAGCACAGGACACAGATAAGGAAGACAAAAAGTGGATTCGGAAAGGTTGGGGGATGAGAGAGGAGATGGGAATTAATTCCATATGTGAGGAATTAAAACAGTGTTAGTGTAGAATAAGAAAAAGGACTATAAATCATTCTACTATAAGGACACATGCACACGAATGTTCATTGCAGCACTGTTTACAATAGCAAAGACCTGGAACCAACCCAAATGCCCATCAATGATAGACTGGACTGGGGAAATGTGGCACATATACACCATGGAATATTATGCAGCAATCAAAAATGATGAGTTTGTATCCTTTGTAGGGACATAGATGAATCTGGAGAACATCATTCTCAGCAAACTGACACAAGAACAGAAAATCAAACACCACATGTTCTCACTCATAGGCGGGTGATGAACAATGAGAACACATGGACACAGGGAGGGGAGCACTACACACTGGGGTCTATTGGGGGAAATAGGGGAGGGACAGTGGTGGGGGGGATCTGGGGAGGGATAGCATGGGGAGAAATGCCAGATGTGAGTGAAGGGGAGGAAGGCAGCAAATCACACTGCCACGTGTGTACCTATGCAACTATCTTGCATGTTCTGCACATGTACCCCAAAACCTAAAATGCAATTAAAAAAAAGGTTTTCTAAGAGGCAAATGAGGCTATTCAGGATCTTAAAAAGAATAAAAATCCAAAGATATAGAAATGTAGAAGTATATCAGCATATAGAAGTAGACAAATTTAGAATGTATATTATATGCTAGTTATTTTACAACTAGATCTGCTTATGTGTCTTTTATATACTAATTTATTGGTACATTCAATTTAGGCTGTTTGCCTGTTCCATTGTTCAATCAGAAAAAGAGGAACCGACAGCCATTAACTTCCAATCCACTTAAAGATGATCCATGTATCAGTACTGCTTCTGACAATTTTGATTTTCCTCCTCTACCTGCAGGTAAGAAAATTAATAAGGTAAAAATTTTCACGAAATACAAACTAGGATTATAGAAAATTGTATTTTCTATTTTATTATAATGAAAACGGAGAGTTTATTTTTTCTTCTTTCCATTATCCACATAGAGAAATGACATGGCTCTTTCTGAACATTCCAGGTCAGGAGTTTGAGTTTCCTTATCTACAATGGTGGCTTAGCATTTAAATGGAGTATCTTAGATTTGGAACCTTTGTTCTAATAAAGTAGTAACATATATTGTAAAAAATATTTTTTCATTCTAAAAATACATGTGGATAATATAGCTTATACATTTGGTGGTAAAGAATGGAAACACATGAATTGTCCCAAGAGTGGGGATAAGTGTGCATGGGAACACAGGAGAAATGAAAAAAAAAAAAGATAGATTTTAGGAAATGCAAACGCCTGGAAATGCCTGGTACCTGGCCGTAGTCTTTTTCTCTTCTTAGGGCATTTTGCCTCATTCATTTGTTGGCTGTTTACTCCGTGGTCTCAGTGTATCCCCCCCGCTCCCCAAATTCATGCACTGAAACTTAACTGCTGGTGTGATAGTATTGAGATGTGGGGCCTTTAGGAGGTAATTAAGTGTTCTGCCCTCTTGAATAAGATTAGTGACTTTATAAAAGGTGTGAGGGAGCTGTGTGATCCTTTTGTCATGTGAGGACACAGTAAAAAGCCTTGACTTCCCAGCCTCCAAAACTGAGAAATAAATGTACCATATTTATCAATTACCCATTCTAAAGTATTTTTTGTTGTAGTAGTTCAAACGGACTAAGACACACCTTCGTCCAGTGGGCTTCTTTATAGCTTCAACTGGCACATGAACTAAGTTGCCCTTGCTGGGAGTTTACATAACCTTTTAGTTCTAGTTCTCAGTGGTCATTGGTAGGCTGTCCTCTGTATCTCATGATGTGTGTCCTCCTGAAGTACTTCAGGCTCTGACCAGGGTTACTATTTGTCAGAAATAGTAATTTTCCTGTATTGGACAAGAGAGAGGACTACATCAGTGTTTTTGTTTTTTGTTTTTTAAAAAAAATGTTGTCTTGATCTATTAGTTGGGCTAGGATATAATTGATCTTTAAAAAGAAGAACTAGAAGAGAATAAAATAGAGTAGAATAGAAACTGCAGCCATGCATTGCATAACAATGTTTTGGTCAGTGGTAGACTACCTGTGTGATGGTGGTGCCATAACAATTATAATGGAGCTAAAAAATTTCTATCTTCTAGTGACATAGCAGCTGTGATGATGTCATAGCATACTTTATTATGGTTTTTACAAATTAGTATAGTCTAAATATATGGTGTGTTTAGTCTGCAGTAGTGTATAATAATGTCCTAGGCCTTCATATTCACTCACCACTTAATCACTAACTCACCCAGAGCAACTTTAAGTCCTGCAAGCTTCATTTATGGTAAGTGCCCTCTTGAGTGTATTGGTTTTTATCTTTTGTATTATATTTTGCTGTATCTTTTCTATGTTTAGATATGTGTAGATACACAAATACTATTATATTACAGTTGCCTGTATTGAGTGAAGTAACATGTTGCACAGGTTTGCAGCCTAGGAGCAATAGGCTATAACTACACCCTAGATGTGTAGCAAGCTATACTCTCCAGGTTTTCGTAAGCATGCTCTCTGATGTTTGCACAACAACAAAATCACCTAACAATGCATTTCTTAGAATGTATCCCTGTCATTAAGTGACACATGACTGTGTCAGTGTATCACACATATTAAGGATAAGATTTGATGGTGAAGTTTCATATTCTTTTTCCTCCTTTCTCTATCTCTCTGTCTCTGTCTCACACACACATCATGTGTATATATGTTCTGAGTTACGATGTATTTCTTTCTGTTGGTGGGATTTAAAAAGTTCAAGAAACATTGGATTACATGAAATTCATGTTACAAAGTTTGAGATACTATACTAGAACTGATTGTAGAAAAGATACAGATTAAATTATCTTTGCTTAAAATATAATGGATAACAAAGACATCTATAAAAATTAATACAGCAGGCTATGACAAATTTTCCAACAGTACTGTTGAAGAAGTTTGTATATGCAATTTCTTTTCAAGTTTTTAAACCCCCCAAATTAAATAAGTATGAAGTTATTATTTTGAAAAATACTACCTATCTTACTTTTATCTATGTTACTTATGTCTTTTGAGATTGGGCCTGGGAAGCTATGAATCCAGAGTTGGCTCCTGTAATAAAAACAATGGACAGTGGGTATGTAAAGAAATATAAACCAATGGATGTGTGTCTGTTACTGACTGATGTTATTCTTCCATGTATATCTTAGTTTCTCAATTTGAAAGCAAACTATTAATATTTAACAAGACATATTTCCTTGAAAGGCAAATACCACATTCAGTTTCTCATCCTCTGAGAAGTCAAGATTCTGTCTTTAACTCTGTTCAGTCAAAATCTGAAAGAAGCCAGAGTGGTTGGAGGTGAGTCTATTTAAAATTTCTTTGTTTTCTATTCCTTCTCATTTTCCTGTCTTTCTCTTCATCTTTCCTTCTTCCTTTACTTCTTCATTTCTTAAATAGAATTACATTTAGAAAATTTCTATAAATAGTAACTACAGCAGTATTAATCATGTTTTATAAAAGAACTTAAGAACATGCATGGAAAACTTTAAAAATATGTAAATTTGACAGTGATTATGTTTCACAAGATTCTTAATGTGATAACGAAATTTCTATCAATATTTATGGCCATGAATTTATGGTTTTGCTTATGGGTTATTAATGATTTAATTGACAATAGATAGGAATCATATCTTAGTATTGGTTATATTTAGGAATTGAGAACCAGTTAGAGTGCTCATTCTTATCCTGTAAGACAGTCAGCTTCGAGGTAAACAGAATGGAAGAAGAAAGAAAAATGGAGGCTGAGATGCATATGCATCTGCAACAGTAGGGGCTCAAGGAGTGAATAAGATGTTCGAAAGATGGTGAGGGTTCTTGCCATAAGGACCAAAGTTTAATGTTTAAATAGCAAGAAAAAATGGATAGAAAAAGAAATGGATTTTTTTGGTTGGACTTTAATAGCCTTGGATAAATGGCAATATTGAAGGAAATAACTCTGGATACAAAGTGCTGGGACACCACCACCAAATACATATGTCAGTCATTGTTAAGTGCTTTGATATATTATTTCAGTAATCCCTGCAACAGCCATATGAAGTGAATACTATTCTTATTTTTATTAGATAAAGATACTGTATTTTTTAAAAGGAGGAGCTTTTTATATAGTTGTTAATAAATACATTGAAATAATATCTTTATTTCATGCCTGTAATCCCAGCACTTTGGGAGGCTGAGGTGGGTAGATTACAAGGTCAAGAGATTGAGACCATCCTGCCCAACATGGTGAAATCCTGTCTCTACTAAAAATACAAAAATTAGCTGGGTGTGATGGTGCACACCTGTAGTCCTAACTACTCGGGAGGCTGATGCAGGAGAATCACTTGAACTGGGGAGGCGGAGGTTGCAGTGAGCCAAGATAGTGCCACTGTACTCCAGCCAGGTTGACAGAGTGAGACTCTGTCTCAAAAAAAAAACAAAAAAAGAGTTTTGATTTTATTATTCATGCTAGTTTCCCCAGGACCAGTCAATTAGTTTCTTCACAACAAGGCCTTAAAACTGGGCCTGTTCAGTGGTTTGGGATGGTTCTTAGAGACATTGTTCCAACGTCAGGTGCTAGAAGAAAATCCATTTTCACAAGCCCTAGACAGAAAACTAGGTAAAAGATTTTAATCTGGACAGGTAGCCATTATTGGATATTACAACTTGAATTAATACATGATCTGTCAGACTGTTGGAATACAACAGAAAATCCAGAAAGAGAGAACATTTAAAAATCCATTCAGGCTGTTGGTAATCTATTGAAGATCTTTTGAACCAGTTAAAGATTTAATCCTCAGGTTTAGAGAGCAGGCTAGCGTCGCCAGATTTAGCAAATAAAAATAAAGGATTCCCAGTTAAATTTGAATTTCAGGTAATCAGTAACTTTTTAGTATGTGTTACAGCCAATATTTGGGACATTCTTATATCAAAAATTTGTTGCTTATTTGAAATTCAAATTTAACTGGGCATCCTGTATTTTTTTCTGGCAGCCTAGTCTAGACTTCCTTGGGACATGGAGTTTTCAAGAACAAAGTACACTCCAATGTTAGACACATTGTCAATATAGATTTCATTCACCAGAATTAGGATATGGGTAATTAGTAAGATTAGTAAAGATGGGTAGATTAGTAAAATTGTAAATTAGTAATATTTACAATTAGTAAAATTGTAGCCAAAGCTCCTACAATTGGCTTGAGACTCTGAGGAGAAATTGAGCTTGCACTTACTTAGTAGTTAAGAAATCTCAGTTGAGGAATTGAAGTGATATGAAGACTTTTAAAATTTGAAAATTTTTAATCTTTTTTTTTTGAGACTGGATCTCGCCCTGTTGCCCAGGCTGCCATGCAGTGGCATGATGGCAACCTCGAACTCCTGGGCTTAAGCAATCCTCCCACTTCAGCCTCCTGAGTAGCTGGGACTGACTATAGGTGTGCACCACCATGCCTGGCTAATTTTTAAATTTTTAGTGGACATGAGGTCTCGCTATGGTCCCCAGGTTGGTCTTGGACTCCTGGGCTCAAGGATTCCCTCACCTCAGCCTCCCAAAGTGCTGGGATTACAGGCATAAGCTATTGTGCTCAGTGAGATGAAGGCTTTAGAATCAGAGAACTGAACACAAACTGGCAAACAGGATCAGGTAAATCCATACATTTTAAAGGAATACTGGGATATTGTTTTTTTCTAAAATAACTTACTATTCTCATTATAAAAATAATAGAATAATTCTAGAAAAAAGGTAAAAAGAAAATTATTCATAGTTGCACTGATCCAGAGTTAACCATTTATTTATTTTTCAACAGAAAAAAAGCCCTTTCACCTTTTTTGAGTCTTACATCTTTATCCATGGGAAAAAAGTTGAACTAGATGATATCTAAGGTTCCTTCAGTGCTCAGTATATATTGTGGATAAAACATACAGTTTTGATGTATTTATGTAAGTTTGTGCTGTCTTGTCTATCACCACCAAGAAAACCATCGATTAAGGATTTTACAAATACACAAATATATTTAACATGTTTGTATGTGGTGGAATACTTAGAATGCCTATTGCGCTGATTCACCCAGTACTGTTTTCTTATTGCACAGAATATCTTTCAAGCATTCTTGTTACACAGATCTATTGTAAAAGTTCAATAATCTAAAATGATATATAACTTGTCAGTAATTCACAAATGAAGGTGGCAGAGCCCCAATACCCATATAACTAAATTTTTAATCTTTTAAATCTCCTTCAACTTGCTCAAGATGGCCAAAGATATGAGAAATATTTTTTTGGACTCTTATTTGCCTCTGGAACACTCTCTTGACACTCTCATCCTTGTTATAGTTCTGACTGCAGTTAAATATTTATTGTACTTCTATTATGTTAAAAAATTTTAATTACAGTGGCTCACACTTGTAATCCCAGCACTTTCGGAGGCTGAGGTGGGCAGATGGTTTGAGGTTGAGAGCTTGAGACCAGCCTGGCCAACATGGTGAAACCCTGTCTCTACCAAAAGATACAAAAATTAGCCAGGTGTGGTGGCACATGCCTGTAATTCCAGCTACTCAGAAGGCTGAGGCAGGAGAATCACTGGAACCTAGGAGGTGGAGTTTGCAGTGAGCTGAAATCCTGCCACTGCTCTCTAGCCTGGGAGACAGAGTGAGACCTTGTTTCAAAAAGTTTTTTTTAAATTAAAACTATATGTATTTAAGTTGTACAACCTGATACTTTAATATGCATATACATAGTGACCTGATTATTTCAGTCAAGCCAGTTAACATATACATCTCTTCACATAATTACCATTTTTTTACTTGTAGTGTGAACACTTAAGATCTACTCTCTAAGCGAATTTCATCTGTATAGCACAGTATTATTAACTGTAGTTCTCATGCTGTACATTAGATCTCTCGATTTTATTCATCCTATATAACTTTGTACCCTTTGACTGACATCATCTTATTCTCTAACCTCTTCACCCCTGGAAACCATTATTCTCCTGTCTACTTCTATGAGTCTGATTTGTAAAGATCTCACATATAAGTAGGCACATACAGTACTTTTATTTCTGTGTCTGACTTATTTTTCACTTAGCATACATCCTCTAGGTTCATTCATATTGTCACAAATGGCAGGATTTTCTTCCTTTGAATGTCTAAATAGTATTCTGTTACTTCTTCATGACATATTTTTTAGTCCATTTATCTGTCACTTAGATTGTTTATATATCTTGGATTTTTTTTTTTTTTTTGAGGTGAAGTTTTGCTCTTGTTGCCCAGGCAATGGCGACAAGACAATGTAAGTGTGATGATGTGATCTCGGCTCACCACAACCTCCACCTCCCAGGTTCAAGTGATTCTCCTATCTCAGCCTCCTGAGTAGCTGGGATTATAGGCATGCACCACTATGCCCAACTAATTTTGTATTTTTAGTAGAGATAGGGTTTCACCATGTCGGCCAGGCTGGTCTTGAACTCCTGACCTCAGGTGATCCACCTGCCTTGGCCTCCCAGAGTGCTGGGACGACAGACATAAGTCACTGCGCCTGGCCCTCTTGGCTATTCTGAATAATACTGCAATGAATCTGAAAATGCAGATATCTCTTTGAGATACTAATTTCATTTCCTTTGGTTATATATCCAAAAGTGGGATTGTGAGATTATATAGTAGTTCTGTTTTTAGTTTTTTTGAGGAACTTCCATACTGTTTTTCATAATGGCTGTACCAAGTTACATTCACATCAAGAATGTACAAGGATTGCCTTTTAAATTTTTGATGACAGCTATCCTGACAAGTGTGAATTGATACTATATCATGGTAGTTCTGATTCACATTTTCCTGATTAGTGATGTTGAGCACCTTTTTATATACCTTTTGGCCATCTGTGTATCTTCTTTAGAAAAATGTCTATTTAGGTTCTTTGCCCATTTTAAAATTGTGTTACTTGTTTTTGTTACTGAATTCTGTGAATTCCTTAAATATTTTGGATATTAACTCCTTATCAGATATGTGGTTTGCCAAAATTTTCTCCCATGCTGTAGACTGCCTTTTCACTCTATCGATCATTTCCTTTACTGTACAGAAGCTTTTTAGTTTGATGTAGGTCTCACATGCTGATTTTTGCTTTTGTTGACTGTGTTTTTGGTGTCATATTTTAAAAAGTCATTTGCAAGACTCATGTTAAGGAGTTTGTTCGTTATGTTTTTTCCTAAGAGTTTTATGGTTTCACTTCTTACATTTGAGTCTTTAATCTATGTTGAGTTGACTTTTGTATATGGTGTAAGATAAGGGTCCACTTCCATTCTTCTGCTTGTAGATACCCAGTTTTTCCAATACCAT